TCAGTGGCCTGATTTGGATATAATGTCAAATCATGGTTTACTGTAGCATGCTGAGGCAGTTGTGAGCCTCACCCTTTAATCCATTTGTATACCACCTTTCCAGAAGAAGTATGCACATACTGTTTTAAAACAAAGCAGCACAGAAAATTAACATTTTTAATGAAAAAAAAGTCAAAGTTAATACATAATAAGTAAATAAAGTGTCAGTAACAAAACAAGACAATAACATTGCAGGCATCAATTACAGAAGGAGATAAAGCATTCATAGCAAAGCTGTTAATAAGTAATTTGTAGGATTAAGTAATTTGCCACTAGCTTTCAGAATTTGTCCTTTAGCTTTTCTGGTTGGGAGCAGTACAAATGTTTTAGAGTAAGACAAGTCTAACTATCAATTTCAGGTGTTCAAAAGAAAAGATGAAAATGCTTTCCTCTGGCCTACACAAGAAGATCTACCTTCTCTGGTGATCATGGACAAATCAACAGCAGAATGAAACCTTTGAAATACTGTAGGGAGAGATAATTCCAATCCTTGTTGTAGCCAGGAGGAGGGGGATCATCCTGCGGTCTATATGGTAAGCAACTGAAATCTCTCCTCTTACAATGACTGGCTTCTGTGCTCTTCCTTCCTCTTTTGCTTGGCATGGCTAAGAGGTGATCTGGAATATCTGCTATTACTTTTAAACTAACCATAATTTCTCATTACAGAAGTTGGAGGAATTGTGGTTGGCTGAAGCTCTGATTTGATAAAAAGCAGGACTCTAAACTGGTGGTTATTTCCCACACCCCTGAGGATGTCACACAGAGTGTCTAACAAATGGGGGGAAAGAAGCACCATGAAACAAAATTCTCGTAAATAAATGCTACCATCCCTAGCCTGACCAAATAAATGCAAAGACATCAAAGACATAATATAGAATAGCTGGCTAGATACCACAGTGGACTGGAACACCTGGCTGTAGAGCCAGGGATGGAGTTCAACTGCCCACTATACCTCCTGAGATCGCAACTAGATTGCGCAGGCTTGGGCAAACGCCATGATCCCACAGCGCTACAAGACACTTCCAACTTATGGCAACCCTATGAATTAGCAACTTCCAAAAGTTCTTACCATCAACATCTCTGTGCAGCTCTTCCAAACCCAAGGCTTTAGTTTCCATTATTATGTCAAACCATACATTATTTCATCATCCTCTTTTCCTGTTGTCTTCAATTTTTCGAGCATTACTGTATTTGCCAATAGGTTCTGTCATGATATACTTAAGGTACAATGGCTTCAAGTTTAGTCCTTTTTACTTCTCATAGAGAGTTCAAGCTTGATTTCATCAATTTATTTGTCTTTTTGGTAGTCCATGGTATCCACAAAGCTCATCTCAAATACCGCATTTCAAATGATATTTTTTTCTAGTAAACTTTCTTCATTGCCCAGCCTTCATAGTATACATAGTAGCTGAGAATACCATAGTATTAAAGATCTTGCCCTTAAAGTTTTCTAATTCCTTCCTTCTGGCCTTCTGAGTGTTACTAAATTTCTAATTTCTTGGCCGCAGTCTCCATTTTTATTACTCTTTATTGATGACAACCAAGATACAAAAAATCTTTAACTATTTCAATTTTTTTATTATTAACATTAAAGTTACATACATTTCTCTAGCCATTATTTTGTTCAATGTAATGCAACATTTGCCCTTTGTTCTTCCTCATCAGTTGTTTCTAGTCATTGATATTTTCTGCCAGTAACACAGTGTCATCTGCAAAGCTAAAATTATTTGTTACAATTTTTTTCTCATTCCTTTGCCTGAATCTCATCCAGTCTTTTGTACAGTTAAGAACATAAAATATATTCTTGTCTGACATCTTTGCCTATGGGAAATAATTAAATAAATGAACAACCAATGGGACTCCATAGACCAGATATCAAGCTATAAATGCTTAGAAGTAATCTCCTTTGCATCTGGCTCCTGGCATTCTCAAGTAAAACATGTTGTAGTAAATGCCCCAAATGTTGCGGCACTCACAAGATTTTTCTATACAAAAGGTGGCCAATATATTAATTCTGTTATCAAAGTATTTAGAGATAAGACCACCATGCAAATGATGTATGGATCTCAGATGTGCCCTTATAACTTTGTTGTTGTTAGGTATGTCTCTGACCTATGGCTGACCCTATGAATGAATGGTCTCCAAAAACATCCTGTCCTCAACAGCTCTGCTCACCTTTCGTAAACTCAAGCCTGTGGCTTCTTTTAAGGATTCAATCTATTTCATATTTGGGCTTCTTTTCTGCTGCCTTCAACCTTTCCCATCATTACTGTCTTTTCCAGAGATCCTTGCCTACTCATGATTTGCCCAAAGTAATCTAGATTAAAATTTCCATTTGATTTCTTGGATCTTCTGTAAGAGATTTCCTTTTTTAAAATCTTCTTCTGTTGTTTTCTTCTTTTATTTCTTTGTACTAGCCATTATAATAATTCTCTTTGTATGTGACAGTCACTGAAAAACTACATTCAGGATTCTGACCCTACTTCTGCCACCTTTTACTTTTGCCTTTCATCTCTCCTTAACAATTTAAAATTTTTCCCTGTCATCCACCAAAGATTTTTTTTAACAAGAATTGTCTTTTTGCATTCTTCCCTAATAATATTTCTGGTTTCAATCCACAGTTCTTCTCGTTCATGGTCAACTGAGTTTATCAATGCACATCTGTTCTTTATATGGACTTTAAATTCCTCAATGTTGTTTAATTTATATTTTAGCATTAGGATTCTTTAAAAACTCTTCTTCAGCTTTCTTCTAATGCTGAATATTAACGGTTTATTATCAGCATGAAATATGCTCCTGGCCTTGTTTTGGTAGAGAGGATATAGCTTCTCCATCTCCTGTTTCCTATTAAATAGTCTATTTGATTTCTATATTGGTCATCTGGTGGTGTTCACATGTACAACTTTCTTTTCCATTGCCTGAAGCATGTATTTGCAGTAAAAAGATTGCTAGTTTAATAGAATTCTATGAGTTGTTTGACTGTTTTGTTTCTGACCCCTCTTCAAAACTCCTGTTTCCTATTAAGTAGTCTATTTGATTTCTGTATTGGCCATCTGGTGGTGTTCACATGTACAACTTTCTTTTCCATTGCCTGAAGCATGTATTTGCAGTAAAAAGATTGCTAGTTTAATAGAATTCTATGAGTTGTTTGACTGTTTTGTTTCTGACCCCTCTTCAAATTTGCCAGCAACATTTGGTTCTGCTTTGCTCCCTACACTTTGCAATTGTCTGACTGAAAAAATCCCACTTCAGTTTACTGACACCAATGTTTATACAGTATATTCCATTTCTTGCTTTATAGTTTCCAGTTTACCTTGATTCATACTTCTCATCTTCCAATTGGGTGTGTTGTGGCAGCACTGGACTTTCCTTTAACCTCTGTGCATGTCAGCTATTAAATGTCCTTTCAGCTTTAGTCTAATTTTATCATTAGCAACAGCAATAAATCTTTTGCCCTTCTCCATTAACTGATAGAATATTTTCTGACCCAGGACTGTCACCTTCCAGCAATGTCCTGCTTCACTTTTGAATCTTTCATCATAGGGTTTTCAAGGTAAGAAAGGTTCAGCAGTGGTTTACCATATTCACTTTCTTCACACTACTAATAGAAGTTAGCTTACATAAGAACATAAGAAGAGCCCTGCTGGATCAGGCCAAGGGCCCATCTAGTCCAGCTTCCTGTATCTCACAGTGGCCTCACCAGATGCCTCTGGGACCACACGAGACAACTAGATACCTGTCTCCTGATACCCCTCCCCTGCATCTGGCATTTTGAAGTACCTTCCTTTTAAGCCTGGAGATTATACATCCTCATCATGGCTTGTAACCTGAGATGGACTTTTCCTCCAGGAATCTCTCCAGTCCCCTTTCATAGGCATCTAGGCCAGATGCCATCACCACATTGCATGGCAAGGAGTTGAACAGACTAACAACATGCTGGGTCAAGAAATATTATCTTTTGTCTGTTCTCACTCTCTCAATACTCAATTTGAGTGGATGTCCCCTGGTTC